TACTGCTACATCCCGAAATAACATTTAAATATCAATATAAATAAAAAAACAATTCAAAGATTTACACATTTTCGAATGTAATTTATCTAATTTATTACATAAATGTCATAAAAGTAATAAGTTCCATAAATCGCATAAATGCAATAAATGCAATAAATGCAATTTATGTAATTTATGTGATTTATGTAACAAACGTAATTTATGTAATTTTACCGCCGTGACCTATGGTCACGTTATACCGTTCCGGACCCAACTTAACCACTTTTCAGGTCTCACACTATATAAGCAACGCAAGTTGCCCGAATAAAATTTAACTTTTTTCTAAGTTCAAAAACTACGGGTTCATAACTTTCAGAGTTCGAATAAATTCTAAACTCCTAAGTTCCAATACTTTGAAATTCGAATAGAAGTCTTGTGTTTTTAAAGGTTCCATTAAAAACATTGTTGCTAATAAACCCATATTATATTGCCCCATAATATTTAAGTGATAAACTACATAATTAAGAATTGACATTGTCAAGTCTACAAGCAAATCAGAAATCTAGGCCCGATCACGTGTTACGTGACCCCCGCTACAAGTGAAGGAAAGAATTGAGTATCGGAACGTAAACAATTAGAAACCAGGGTCAAGAAGGACTAAGCAAAAAAACAAAAGAATACATATCTTAAAGTATCAGGTAATCCAAAAATAATCCCTAAGACTCGGACCAAGTCTTCCACGCTTCAATCGACGCCTACCGTTTAGGGTTTATTATTGTTGATTAGTTCCGAGCTTTCGTGTAACCTAACCATAGGTCGAATTCTATCTAGGACCTTTTCAACAAACTTATTTAAATGGTGACAGGCGACACTGACAAATAATTCGCCAAGCTTATTCAATTTTGTACGATCAATAAATGAAATATTTAATAAAGAAATTAAGAATGAAAAAAATATGATGTTCTTCTAAATTTCAATATGCTAAGCAATCATAACAAAAAAGCCCAATACCGATACTTTTTTATAAGTGATTTAAACCAGTGATAGTTCGAAATTTTAGTGTATTCATGTTTTTGAAACAGTATTCATGCGAGTTCAAACATGTAATAACTAGTTTAAACAGTATAATATCATTAAAACAAATATTTTTGGCTTATACAATTAAACGAGTAGAAATAAACCGATGATTGATAATTAAGTGCTATTGAAGTTACTTTTTTTATTTATTTATTATACTGTACTAGTAAAATTTAAAATTCGTCAATGAACAAACTTCTCCCAAATTTGATCATTAGGAAAATTATTTTCATTTCATTTCTTCAATTAGTTATAGCATCAATTATAGATGAATCTTATACATCTCAAGAAGATTTATATGATGCTCTTCTTAATACATTTTTTCCAATCATTATCGTAGTTTTATTCAATGTTAGAGAAGAATCTGGACGAATTAAAAAAGTGTTATTACCATTATTAGATGATATACTATATAATATTATCACTTGGGTAATTCCAATAATAGTTTCTTTTACCTATGATGACACGTTAGGTATAAAGATATTTTCAATTGTAAACATGTGTTTACATGTATTCTGTGCTGTAGTTGCATTAATTAAACATGAAACAATTAAGAAATCAATTTTAGACATGTCTTTTTCAAGATATAATCTTTTGTTCTTACTATTCTTTCCAGTATTAGTTATTCCAATATTTTGGATTATTATTATTATTAAACACGCTCTTAATCCAATTAGTTTAATATTTCTTATATTATTTGTGATATTATTAATGTCTTCAGTTTTATTCTTATTATTATTATTATTTATAGCAAATGTTGATGAAGTCTATATGTTATTATTTCCTCTTTGTTTTATATTATTTTATGCACCAAATATTTTGCAGACATTATTTATATTGTTAAAATGGCCAATTAATTTTTACTTTGTTAAAGCATGTGTATTTATACTTATTCTATCTTTGACGAGAAATGTATCTTACTATACTTATGAGGTGCCTGATGATTTATTAGCTACTTCAACTGCAATAGTTCAAAGTGCGATGCGTGAAGGAATAGATTTTGTTATGAAGCGTGAGGGTCAAGATGAGGATCAGCAAAAATCAATTGATGTAAAAATCAAAAATATGCAAGAAGTAATAGATTTTATTATGAAACGTGAGAAACAGCAAGAATCAATAAATGAACAAATAAAGAATATGCAAGAAGCAATAAATAATATTCAAGATCAAATGAAAACTTTGTTATAAAACAAGCAAATTTTGTTTAAATTTCATAAGAGATAAAAATTTCATAATTTTAAATACAGTATAATCATTAAATATTCATATTATTATTATTTTTTTTTCTAACATATTTAAAATTGAAATTTAAATCATTTATACAGTACCTCAAAAAATCAAAACTTTAAGTCAGATACATTAAAATTTTCTACAGGTATTTAGTCAAAGTTTAATATACAGTAACTGAATTTTCATTTAAAGATAAAATATTTAATAATAATAAGATTTTAATAATATATCTCGAATCAGGTTATGTTAAACAAATATCGTGGCGAGTCAGTCGCACTTTAATTTTATAATTCGTATAACATTTGACGAAGCAACTCGAACAGACGGAATAGAATTTTATATAAGACTGTGTTCTATTTTTTACCTTTCATTTTTCTATTGATAATCACTCTTAACTTTATTAACGGGTTTCTTATTAAATCAATAGAAACTTTTATTTATCGGATGAGTAAAAGTTAACTTTTATTCAAATCGAATTCATAATACTTACATTAGAGATAGGCAAATTTACTATGTATTCTTATTTAATATTACTTAACATTATCTATTATTTTTTTGAACATTAAATAATAATAAGTCATTCTACGATAATTCTATTTTTAGCGACAAAAATTTACATGTTTGTTTAATCTCAGCTTTAATTAATCATTTCTTACTGTTATCATTATGTGCAAAATCTATCTGAGATTTCCGTTTCGTCATAACAATTTCCGCCTTGACTTTTCATCAGTCGGAAAATTTCCGAATATGATATCATATATACGTATATATATAAATATTAATAAATATTACAATATCATTATTAAAAAACTGTTACATCCGGCTGAGTTTTCTAAGTTCCGGTTAAAATAAACACCGCCGGAGAAAAGCAGCTTCCGGTATCCGGAAATTTTGTGCCCTGATGTGCATCAAGAAATTTTTTCTCTACACTAAATTTGGTATTCTAATATTATTATAGTATTATAAAAGCTTTTAATATTAAATTAACAATAAAATTTGATGTATTTATAATATAAAAATGTCGTTATATTAATTTTATATTATAATTTAATTATTAATTTTATATTAAGAATATACCAGGACAAAGTAAGTAGTTGTAAAATTCTCAGCATTTGATTGGTCCGCGTGACTCTGTTCGTCACATATTGTTATGCATTGTCTATTTTTTCACACGCCATTTTTCACACCTTATATATGTTTGACTATTGCCTTATTGAGTTAGAATTACTATATATGGAAGGTCATTTACATCTTTTAATCTTGATTATGTAATATTGAACCTTACGACTATTTCGCGAAGCCCGCTACTCTTGCTTAGCACCTTTTTGATCTGTTGACTCGAGTTCTATCCCAGAATGACTATGAATATTATCGTTATGTTAACGTTAAGGTGCATGCCGATCATTTGAGAATATTAACTATTTTGTTCTAACCGAATATATATGTATATCTCGTGCTGAATTTCTAGTGGTAAAGCTAATGTGCGCAATGCCGAATTCGAGTAATTCAAAAAAACTCAGCCAAAATGAATATTGTTAATAAATCAAATATATTCTACTGATTAT